GCCTCCACCTCTGTTTAATGATGGACAGTCTTTCTTCACAAAAATGGCTTCTTTTTTTGCTAAAACTCTCAGACTGAAGAAGTCTCTTGGAGGAGAGACGAAACGTTTCATTAGAGAAGAACCCGTCCAGAAGACCTATACAATTTTTTTCTTTTTGATTTTTTACCTGGATTACTGAGATGCATCAGGAGATAATGTTTTTAATGTTTCTCTGTATTTTAAATAGATTTTATAGTTTACATTTATGTGCTGCTCAATTGTTTTATTCATTTGACTTAACTGTGAAGCACTTTGGCCAACTTCTGTTGTTTTTATGTGCTATATAAATAAAATTGACTTTGACAATTGACATTGACAGGAATTTTTTTCTATTAATCCTCTCAGATCGGCAAAGCTGCGATGCTTTCACAGGGTTTCTGTAAAAAAAAAACTAGTGAGAGCGTTCAGTGTTCATTTGAACTGGATTACACTGCACGGACTTCATACTTTATTAATGTTAAAACCAGATGTAATGATGAATAAGTCTTGCCATAATGTGCGCATTTTTACGTATTTGGTGCGTGTTTAGAGAATGTCTTGTGACCAGGAAGTGCGTGACTGTATACCATGAAACACATTTTTCCCATTTCCTCAAACACACCACAAGAATAGCAATGTCAGTTGACAGTGACATTGCTATTCTTAGTAAGGTAGTCTTTTAGATTGTGGCTAGCATTTTGCTTCTATTAACTGTATAACTGTTTTTAGCTTTCCGCTAGTGTGTGGCTTCTTTAAGCTTTAACAACTCAGTTTCAGTTACTTCGGCTCATTTCAGCAGTTCGTTTTGCGGAGAATTTCTTGTTGATTGTTGTATTAGAAGCTTTGAATTTTTTGACGTTATTCTCATCGTCGTGAACTTTTGCTTCCTTGCTGTGATCCTGGCAGACAGGAGTGAACCCGGAACAGTTGCTGAAGAAAGTCCAAAAGAAGCAGAAGAAAAAGGAGCAGAATGCTCCACTGAAGATCTGTGCTAAGGTGAGCCCACTGTTTGTTTCCAGGTCTAACAGAGTAAAGCATGTCAGCACATTCCTCTCATGTATGAAAGTTCTTAGCGACCAGTTTCGCAAAGCAAGGACTGTCAAAATTTCTGAGATGTTTTTGTGCCGCTCATTGAAAAAACTGTAAAACTAAAGCACTTTAAAAAGTCTTCTTATTCCAACTTGAGTCCGTTTGTGAAAATGAGCCCTTTTTACTGTTGACTGTAGATTAAAGACAAGACGGTTAGCCATGAGGTTGTCCCTACAAGTCAGGAGGTGCAGGAACAGAGGAACGGAGAGTTGGAAGACAAACACCAGCCAACCTCTGAGGAGGAAATCTTCCTGGAGCTTCTCAGTCCTGTTCACTCCATCATCCTGGACTGGACGTCTGCCAGCTTTATCGACTCTGTGGGAGCCAAAGCCATCAAACAGGTTTCTCTTTGATTGRAGGGTGTTCTCTGAATGACTTGCAGATTTTTTTTTTCTTCATGTTTGTGCTACAGTGACCATTAATGACAACTTTATCTCTTACCAAACTGTGTGTGTGTTTGTGCAGGTCATTAAAGCCTATGCTGCAGTGGACATTCAGGTGGTCATAGCTGGCTGCAATAGTAAGTTATACTCTCTCTCTCTTTTTAATACAATGCAATATCAATAACAGCGTCATCATGCATGTGGATTGTGGAACATGTTTTGACTGAAATGTTTTTCTACACCTGATATTACAAAAGCATCYTCCCACCTTCAACCACAGGTGGAAAAAGTATCAAACAGTCCATCACCTGGGCRTATAGAGACAAACAAGACRAACGACGTTTTGCTCCGTCTCACGCCTTGTGACAGTTTAGTTACCAAAGAACCTAACGTGTGCGACCAGATTTCCTAATAGTGCGACTAAAAAAAATGTCTGGTCGCACTGGTGCGATCGAGGGGGAGGGGGAGCGGTCGCCCGCTGAAACTAAAAGTTTTCATCATGTTCCATAAAAATAATCCAGCAGTCGCCCGCTGACAGTCTCATCTCTCCTAATAACACTGCGCTCTGCTCGCGGGCTCCGCTCCACACCTCCTGCACACACACACTGTTGTTCTATCCTCATGGGGACTTTGCATTGACTTCCATTCATTTCCCGTCAATTCTATAGCCAACCATAACCTCCCAGGTAGACTACACACCTGACCCATCCCTAACCTCGCCAGGCTGTGTGTACCTAGGAAATGGTCGATAATTGTACCCACCATGAAGCAAAAATCTGTACACACACGCGGGTGCGCGCACGCACGCATAGCAAAACAACCAGAGTTTTTTTTGTTTAACCCTGATCGGAGTCTGAAAACCAGTTCTTTCTTGTTAACTGGAGATGAAAACAAGATGTGGACGGTTGCTCGCTCGTCCATCTTGTTAATTTAACAGTCGGGGTCTGAGCGCTGCAGATCATTTCAGCAGCATGAGGAAGCTCACCTGTATGGCAGGCTGCTGTTACACTTAATCGACTTCACCACAGTTACATTCCAAGTGTCTGAAATAGGTTCTTCTGGGTCTCAGGAGGATAAAACTAATATTAGATATTTAAGTGAAATAATATAAGATAATAAGATTCAACTAATGATGAAATTGCAGACTTTTATGTGTTATTTAAAAAATGTGCACAACCTTTTAATAAATATCAGTAATATTTCTGATATTAATCATTTTTCTCTGTTCATCATTCTGGTTTATCCAAGACCAAAGATCCATAGTTGTCCATCTGAGGGGCAGGTGTCTAAAAAAATTTAACCATGAAATGTTTAAGATGTTTATAATATGTTCAGCCCTTAAACATTTGCACTTAGAATTTTATAGAATCACTTTAAATACTTTTCAGTAAGTGAAATGTCTACAATTCTGGTTCAAATAAAGAACTTTGTTTACTAGATTAACTAATTATTTTTGAGTTAAAGTTGCCTTAATCAACAGTGATTAAAAAATAGCCTGTAAAACTCTGATGATAAATGTGATGTGGTTGAAAATTTGGGTGCACCTAACTTTTGTGCTGGTGCACCTAACAAAAAATGTAAGGCGCACCAGTGCAACCAGTGCAAAAAGTTAGTCTAGAGCCCTGATCTAGATTAAGATTACAGTTCATTCTTGTRCTTCACAGACCTTAGCATGACAAAAATGTTATGCTCAATCAGTGGATACCCCTGACAGGTGTACTACAAAGTGAAGGCATTGGTCTATGGCAGGCCATTTTAACATAAAATCRGCTTTGAYTATCTGYAATTACATTCTAGATACCTAAAAATTTGTTTCGACATTTGACTATCTTGACTGATAATTTAAGACATCTGCATTAGGCTAATCAGAAAAACAATTTAAGATATCTCATATATGACATCACTGTATTTGTCATTTGAAGGGTCAGCCATCAATAATTACAATTTAGGATATTTACAATGTAATAACTAGTCAAAATTACATTTTTAGATATCTGAATTAAGAGATTGCTGCCACTAAGCTGTTCTAACAGATGCCTGCAGAATTTTGCACACATGCAATGACAATAAATTATCRGTTTCTTAATTTATGTCCAGCTGTAGATAAAAATCATGTTTAGAAACATGGGAATTTGTGTTGGACAGACATGACCCTGCAGACTGCTGAATGGTAAATTAAGGTAAGACTAGTGGCTTAGTGTACAGTACCCTGAGACAGTTATTGTGACTTAGTGCTATATACATAAACTGAATTAAATATTTTCTAGTTTTTATCTTTCCTTCCTACGTGTTTGTGAATTTCTAGAAAAAAAGATTCCGTGTCAGTTTTTAAGTGATCATAAATAAGTAAGACTGTTTTTATTTTAACTGACCATGTGGTTTTGTTATTTATTTATTTTTTCCTCAAGGAAATCTTCTGGATGAGCTGGACAGGTTAGAGTTTTTCTCAGACAACGTGAGCACCAGTATGTTTTTCCCAACGCTTCATGATGCCGTTCTGCACTGCCAGCACTCTCACCGCAGCCCACCTGCTGCTGAGGAAGAAGCCTGACCACAGGAGGGGTCACCACCTGACTGAAGAACCGTGAACTAGTGTTTTGAAGCTTTACAGCTGTGAGGAATTGAACAGTCGTTCATTTTGAACGGTTCTGTTTTAGTACAGCTAGATGCTATTTTTCTTTTTGTACTACAAAGAGTTTAGACAGCCATCTCAAAATGCTCTAAACCACAAAGTTAGTGTTTCTTTTAAACTCTGCCTTTTCCTGAGTCCACTGCGTCCTCTTAGCAGTCCACAGGAAGACTGGAGTACAAGCTGCACTTTTCTTGCACTTCTGGAGATATTATCTCAAACTAGCTGCTGCAGCTTTTGTCCAAAAGACAAATAGGAATAGTTGGTAGTATCACTGTTGATACTGAACATCTCATCATGCTGGTACTTAATGTTTGTGGTTACTGACATATTGTGAATGTATTTTGTGTGGAACTGGTTAAATATTATTGTGTATTTAAGTCAAAGAGGATCAAACTGTCATCTGTCACACTGCTGTTTGAAAGCAATGGGATTTTTTTCATGCAATCTAAAGTTTAAAGAAGAGAATTCAGTTTGGAATAAACTTTATTTTTACGTGAACAGGAGTGGAAAACAAGCCATTTGAACTCTTAGTGAAACACACACTGTTAGTTGTAGGTCATGTATCTTGGGGTGGCGCTGAACTTGGCGTAGGATTTGATGACTTTGTTTACAGCCTCCAGGAAGTCTTTCTCTGTGGCGATCTTCCTACGAGCCCTGATGGCAAACATCCCCGCCTCTGTGCAAACGCTGCGGATCTCAGCACCTGTAAAAAAACATGTTTCCAGAGTAACACAAAGTGAACATCAACAAGCTGCTGTGAGAATTTCTGTAAACTGCAGCGGTGACACATGCAGACAATCATGATATATTGTTGTAAAGTTGAACGRATTGTTCTTGGTTAGGAGGGAAACAGTTCTGTGTGGGAGTCGTGTCCAATTCATTTCTGCCAAAGTTTATTCTGCTTCATTTTGTCCTTAATTGGAGACAAGGCATATTGGCATTTTATTCATAAAAAATAAAAACCAGGGGTCTTAGACAAGAGCTTCAGGTGTGTTACTGTCCATTCTGATACAGCATCTTACTGGAATGCAGCTGTTGAAAACTCATGGCCCTTTTCATGTGAACATGCACAGAACCTACAGCAGGAAGTCAGAACCACCGTCACAGTACCACTCATTTCATCAAGCCAAGGGAAGAAAGTCCTCAGAAATGTTTGCTTGTGAAAATGACAGATCTGACTGATTAGTAGTACCCTATTTCCATGGCGGGCCGTTAATTTTACACCTAGGCCTTCAATTAGGAGAGAACGGACCAATGTCCGAATGTCCGCTCAGCATTTAGCTCATAAGACGCTACAGAAATCTAGTTTCCCGGTTGTGACTCCTGCTCTCTGATCAACCA